GTCGTTTTTTTCGGCAAAAAATGCCTTACTATACATGGTCGTTTTTTTCGTCCAAAAACACCTTACTACTTATGGTCGTTTTTTTTCGGCAAAAAACGCCTTACTATACATGGTCTTTTTTTTCGGTCAAAAACGCCTGACTGTACATGGTCGTTTTTTTCGGCCAAAAACGCCTTACTATACATGGTCTTTTTTTTTCGGCCAAAAACGCCTTCCTATTGATGGTCTTTTTTTTTGGCCAAAAACGCCTTACTATACATGGTCGTTTTTTTCGGCAAAAAATGCCTTACTATATACATGGTCATTTTTTTCGCAAAAAACGCCTTACTATACATGGTCTATTTTTTTGGCCAAAAACGCCTTACTATACATGGTCGTTTTTTTCGGCAAAAAACACCATACTACACATGGTCGGTTTTTTGGGCCAAAAACGCCTTCCTATACGTAGTCTTTTTTTTTCGGCTAAAAACGCCTTACTATACATGGTCGTTTTTTTCGGCAAAAAACACCATACTACACATGGTCGGTTTTTTGGGCCAAAAACGCCTTCCTATACGTAGTCTTTTTTTTTCGGCTAAAAACGCCTTACTATACATGGTCGTTTTTTTCGGCAAAAAACACCATACTACACATGGTCGGTTTTTTGGGCCAAAAACGCCTTCCTATACGTAGTCTTTTTTTTTCGGCTAAAAACGCCTTACTATACATGGTCGTTTTTTTCGGCAAAAAACACCATACTACACATGGTCGGTTTTTTGGGCCAAAAACGCCTTCCTATACGTAGTCTTTTTTTTTCGGCTAAAAACGCCTTACTATACATGGTCGTTTTTTTCGGCAAAAAACACCATACTACACATGGTCGGTTTTTTGGGCCAAAAACGCCTTCCTATACGTAGTCTTTTTTTTTCGGCTAAAAACGCCTTACTATACATGGTCGTTTTTTTCGGCAAAAAACACCATACTACACATGGTCGGTTTTTTGGGCCAAAAACGCCTTCCTATACGTAGTCTTTTTTTTTCGGCTAAAAACGCCTTACTATACATGGTCGTTTTTTTCGGCAAAAAACACCATACTACACATGGTCGGTTTTTTGGGCCAAAAACGCCTTCCTATACGTAGTCTTTTTTTTTCGGCTAAAAACGCCTTACTATACATGGTCGTTTTTTTCGGCAAAAAACACCATACTACACATGGTCGGTTTTTTGGGCCAAAAACGCCTTCCTATACGTAGTCTTTTTTTTTCGGCTAAAAACGCCTTACTATACATGGTCGTTTTTTTCGGCAAAAAACACCATACTACACATGGTCGGTTTTTTGGGCCAAAAACGCCTTCCTATACGTAGTCTTTTTTTTTCGGCTAAAAACGCCTTACTATACATGGTCGTTTTTTTCGGCAAAAAACACCATACTACACATGGTCGGTTTTTTGGGCCAAAAACGCCTTCCTATACGTAGTCTTTTTTTTTCGGCTAAAAACGCCTTACTATACATGGTCGTTTTTTTCGGCAAAAAACACCATACTACACATGGTCGGTTTTTTGGGCCAAAAACGCCTTCCTATACGTAGTCTTTTTTTTTCGGCTAAAAACGCCTTACTATACATGGTCGTTTTTTTCGGCAAAAAACACCATACTACACATGGTCGGTTTTTTGGGCCAAAAACGCCTTCCTATACGTAGTCTTTTTTTTTGGCCAAAAACACCTTACTATACATGGTCGTTTTTTGGGCAAAAAAACGCCTTACTAAACATGGTCTTTTTTTTCGGCCAAAAACGCCTTCCAATACATGGTCGTTTTTTTCGGCAAAAGACGCCTTACTATACATGTTTTTTTTTCCGGCCAAAAACGCCTTACACTACATGGTCCTTTTTTTCGGCCAAAAACGCCTTCCTATGCATGGTCTTTTTTTTGGCCAAAAACGCCTTACTATACATGGTCGTTTTTTTTTTTGTCAAAAAACACCTTACTATACATCGTCGTTTTTTTCGGTTAAAAACACCTTTCTGTACATGGTCGTTTTTGGGGGGGGCTAAAAACGCCTTACCATACATGGTCGTGTTTTTGGTCAAAAAACGCTTAAGTACCCTCTAGAATTCCCCATAAATTTTATTGACTCATCTTATCCAACATGAATCAAAGCAAACCCAATTCGGAGAAGGCTTCCCCTCCTTTTCACTCCTGCTGGAAAGTATACCCGAGGCACCAATCGAGACTTCCAGCTGCAGTCTTATTTCCACAGGCGACATTCCACCGCCACGGGCCGCTTTCTCACTTGGAAAAGTCAGTGAGTGAGTGTGGAGGCGAGCCTGCTCTCCCCTCTGGTTGTCAAAGCGCAGTTGTTGCCTGCTAGCTCAGCTTCGTGCAGGACTTTTTCTCTCTTGCGTGAGCGGGGGAAAAAGATGGCATCCCAGCTGTTCAGGGTCTTGGGGTTTGCTGCACTGCTGATATTCTTGGCGCTTTCAGGTAAGTCCCAACTTTACTTTCTGTTATACTTCTGCAGGGTTTTCACCTCGAGAGCCACAGAAGACATTTGCATCATGTCCTGGACTGAAATGTGCTCATGTTTACGTACCCTGACAAAATTGGTGGACCTTTATCTATGACATGACCGATCAGGCATCAACATTTATCTGATTTTTCATGGAATTCAATTAAACTGTCGGACATTTCAGACAATCACAATCATGAAACAAAACCAAATAAAGAAAAATGAGACAATACCCATGTGGTCAGGGGGTGAAATCCCCCCCACTCCCCCAGTACAAAAAAAAAAAAAATCACAAATTGTACAGTATCAGCGACCTAATAAAAATCCACTCACAACCTGTTCTGGGCCCCAAGCCTAAATCTAGAAACCACAGCACAATCAAATTATCTTCTGGTGTTCTAGTCCTTTCATTCTGTTGTGGTTTGTGTTGCACGTCTGAACATGTTGAGGAATCTTGTTGTCAGGGTTCTTTCTTCAATGTCCATCAAAGTAATTACATTTTTCCTGCAAAACATTGCAATAATGTGTGCTGGTGTCATAGAGCCCTAAGATAATTTATAGCATTATAGTATAGTAGGGAGTGATTTTTACTTTTTCGCCCGCAAAGGCTAAATAAAATGAAAATTGATTGTAAGATTATTGTTCACAGCGAAAGAGACACAAAGTGCTTCCGCTGTTTTATATATATATATATATATATATTTCGGTCATAAGTGTGTGTGTGTGTGTGTGTGTGTGTGTGGGAATTTCTCTTCTTATCTTATTCTTAAACAACGTCAAAATAAAGGCATTCTTCTCTCATGTCAGCACACTAATTCAGAACAGGAGCAGAATTAAATTCCATTGGATATTGCACTACAGCACTTCTTTCTTGTATTTCGTTTTTAAGCAGGCCTTAAAAATGTAAACTCTCAAAGTTTTACATTGAATGCACCAATGTGGTTCAAATGGTTTCTCCAGATGGCACAAAGAAAGCCCTCAAGGGACAAAGGAAAAACAAGAGTGGAAAAAGTGACTCGCTACTCATGCTGTGGAAAAAAAAACTGTTTGCCAAGCTCATTCAAATAGCACATCCAATACATGTTATTATTCCATACAGAAGAGAAAAAGAGATGCATTTTTCACCTCTGGTCAAGTTAAATAATGTACCGCTTCAAGTGGAATAAGGCTCAGTTTATGCCATGAAAGGGAGCCATTCCTGAAAGTCATTCGGTGGGGGTGGGGTGGAGTGTGGCCAAAGTGGGGGTGGGCTCGGATTAGGTGGTGCATGCGTCAGAGGAGTACAACAACGCTGATTGCCATACTGTAGTACATACAAAAGAAATGTGGTGAGATCTGAGTTGTCTTTTGTCCGAACAGAAGTGAAGTCAGGTGATGCCAAGAAGCTGCTCAAGATCCTGAGAAAGAGAGATGGTAGGTGTCAACACAAAAGCACATGACACACAAATTACACATTCCAAATTAATAATGGGTATTCCTTGAGCAATTTGTCAGAACAGCACTGCTTCCTCCCAACAGCCAACGAAATGAAAGAAAACGAATCATGATATTTATCGCTTTTTGTGTGCCTCCTTCAAGGCCTCCTTAGCCGTGTCTCCGACAAAAGTGCAGGAGCTTTGGGCCAAACTTACTCCTTGAACAATTTCTCTTAACAGCACTGCGTCCTCCCAACACCCAAAGATATTAAAAACATTATGATCGTAATAATTATCGCTTTTTGTGTACCACTGTAGTGGCAGGAGTCGCTCGTCCTGCTGCCCCGTTCAAGTCCTCCGTAGCCGTGTCTCCTTCAAAAGCGCAGGAGTTTTTGGCTAAACTGAGCCGAACCAAGAGGAACATTTGGGACCGCAGCAGACCGGACGTGCAGCAATGGATTATGCAGTTTATGTACATGGGCTACGACGAGCAGGTGGGTTGCTTTACTCGCATCCACGTTTGTTTATGATCATCTAAGAGGGTGTTTAAATAGCAAGTCTGATTGATATAGTGCCCGTGAAGGCACCGTGAAGGACGCGTAACGACGTTTCATAAAGGGAAATGATTGCATTCATTGATATGCAGTATGTAACGTTGCTGGTAGTGTAGTTACATAAAACATACAAAAAAAAATTCTTCGGCATCAAATCAAACCACCAAGCACGGCTGCATGCCAGACGTAACTCGCTGGCTGGAGTACCCGATTAACATGCAAAAGGCGATTTGCCACACACACGTGTGCAGTCGGTGACATTTTCACTCTCTTGGTGGTGGCACTTAAAATGCTAATGCGGTGACACTTACTACAATCGCAATCACAGTTTTGCTGCACGGTGCTCTCGCTGTTGAGTTCATAACGGCTGACAACTGGTTTTATTAGCGTTAAGTCTATCAAAAGCTCGATTATTAAATGCAGAGCAGCATGAAGGACGCTAGTTTGATTGATTGGTTTGCAGGCACAAAATCAAAAGGCTGCCATGGATTGTCCATCTTTTATTTGTTTTAAAAAAGTTTTAATTCATATGCATTTTGTAGCACTTCATGGCTGTTCCCCACTTAGTGTTGATTCTTCACAACAACAAAAAAACTATTTTATCTCTTTATGTCTGAAGTCTGAAATATCTGTTCCCCACTTAGTGTTGATTCTTCACAACAACAACAAATAAACAATTTTATCTCTTTATGTCTGAAGCCTGAAATATGGCAAAAAGTTCAAGGGGGGCTAATACTTTCGCAAGGCACTGTATAATGCACTTAACCATTACAGGTGAACTAGCTGAATCGTTTCGCTGTTCACATTGTCGCAGCTAACGTTTGATCAGGGATTGTAAGAGCGTCAGTGGCATGTTGGAGGAGAGAGACTGGCAGAGTCACTGAAAGGTATAAAAGTAGACATCGTCATTCGATACATTCATCAAAGACTAGTTGTGAGTGTCCGCCCATCGGCTCCTTGTTTGAGACAATTAAGTAGGGCAAAAAACGTACTGAAATACTGAACAATAAAAGTACTGAAACATTAAACAGTTGAACATTTGCATTCAGAAGAACAAGCCACAACTTTTTGTGTGTAGCGTATCTTCATGGGTGCAGCTTGCGGTTCACATTCACATCTGCATATAAATTATTTATTCATGTGCATTTTTTTCACATTGATTGCTGGCGCATGCATAGATATTTCTGAGATTGTAATTTACCGGTACTGTACATTAAACTGCTTTAAAACTGCCATCTACCCCTTGTGGTTGTAATAAATGCCAATCATAATGCAAATGGCATGTCGGTTGGTATTAAAATTAGACTTAAGACATACACAAGCGTCTCCCGCAATGACCGCCTTCACGAATGACCTTTGTCGCCATGCTCCTGAAAGGTGAGTGCTGTCAAGCTGTTGGCCTTTTCACCCACCATGTTTTCCTGCTCGCTGAGTTTTCTGAAGGCCGCTTTCACCCAACGTCATTTTAACTCCCCCACCGCCTCCCACTCCCGTCTCTCTCTCTGGCCAGAGGTTGGAGACAGATCTCTCCTACTGGATGGACTTCGCACGCTCCAACGACCACGGACGTCAGCATCACTACGATGAGAACGCGGCCATTGGCCCGCGTGACCCAAACTCATACCGACACGGCGCCAATGTTAACTATGACTATTATTAGCAGCTTGCACGCACACGAGCACCTTTCTGCCGTTGGGGGGTTCTATGCATACTTTTTTTTTTTAATATGCAAAGCAGCTTTCTCCTGCCTTCCTGTGTTCTGCTCACAAATAAAGCCAAAGTACAAGTGAGCTCTCTGTGAAAATCCCGCTTTTCGCTGAAAAAAAAAAAACTGTCCATGTAATAGTTTTTCTGCAACATATACAAATGGTCAGGCTACATGTGTTATTTTCACAAACTATTGACCAGTCTATAAAGTGTGGAAAATGGCCTGCTCTGTTTGATGATGCTTTTTGGGGTCTCCTGAAAAGTGATGCTTTCGGAGGTATGAGGATTCCGCCCGACGCCAGCATTTTATAAAATGTGATCATGTCACATGAAGTCCATAAACGTATTTCTCCATGTAATGTCTCCAACTTGTTCTGCTTCTTATCATTAGCATTGCCAGCGCTGTTAGCTCATTTATTTTGAAATAAGAAATCGCCTTGTCACTTCAGTTTTTTTTGGCACACGAATTAGGTTTGTACTTTGAAAATATTTCCAGTATTTTACCCCACCATTTCCCCTTGAACGCTTTAGCACCCAAAAAAAAAAAGTCACACGACTGACCCATGGCTAAAGAGGACCAATTCCTAAAGGGCATTAAAATTGTCATTTCTTCTTCATGTCAGTGAACAGTTTCGACTTTTACTCCGCTTCGCCATGCTGGATTTTACATCTTAAAAGAGCGGTTTATTTCACCAAATGGCATTAAATGCATATAAAAAATGATCCACTATCTAATTGAATAAGTCTTGTATAACCAACACGTTATATCTAAGCAATACCGTTACAGAATTTAAGGTCAGCACTTATGACACTGACTGTAACAATCTATTGTAAATTATGTGACTACAAGATGAAGGAAGGCTAACATGCATTATTTTGCATTAAATTGTATTTATGCACATCATTATGCTTCAATATGAATATGCAGCCTGCAAAAGGTCTTACATTAAGCCTGTGTGTAAAAAATAAAAAAAAAAGTCAGTGACATTAAAAAAAAAAAGGTTGTGCCACATGTTCTCGTACCAAGAGGCGTTATTGTAAATCTTTTATTAAAATAATTATCTTCCACCTCATAAGAATAATATCCATCCTGATGTGCGATGTTGCCCAAAGTGAAGCACGGTGTCACAGTAACATTTTTTTCTTCGCCAGGAGACAAGAGAATGGCTTATCTTTGATAAAAGCACAAAGCACTTGAGAAATGTCACGTTTTAAATATCTTAAAAATTGACTCGGAAAAAAAAAAAGACAATACGATAGACAAATGACAACCAATGATGCTGTAGGCCATTTTAAATACAGTAATTTGCTTGTACAACCTAAAAAGCTCACGCGAGGAAGGCCTCACAGTGCAATTTGCAAACTCCTTATCAAGGCAACAATCAAAAGTCTTCTCGCAATAAATATCCCAGAATGCAACTCTGCACACGCGTCAAAAATGGTAAGGAGGTCCTGCTTAAATGTGTCGGGTTCGACCTTTCTTCATGCGGGCCGCTTTGGGTTTGGGGATGTACTGGTTGTTGGCCTGGTGCTCCAGTTCTCTGCTGAAGTACTGGATGGTTTTCTTCAGGCCCTCCTCCAGGGGCACCTGTCAACACACAAACACCGTGACGCACTCCAGCTGGACTGCTTGTGTAAGACTGAGTGCCACCCATGCAATGTTAAAAAAAAAAAAAAAAAAAAATTCAAATTACTACAAAATGCGGACCCAGAGAATTTGATTATAACATATATTTAACCTTCAATAGAAGATCAATGGGGCAGGGAGGGAGGGAGTGGGGGTAAGGGAGGCAGACGGTGGCCATCGTGAGAAGACACGTGATCGGTGTCGGGTAGGGAGTGTGGGGGATGGAGGGCGTACGGCACATGTTGAAGTGCGCAGCGGTCAATGCCTCTGGATGCGCTGGATGACGCCTCTGTCCTGACATTGTTGCTATAGCAACCTGCCAGATGCTTCCATGATGTGGCCCAGTCTGAACAGGGCCAGATACCATTTGGACACTTGCTTAAAAGCAGTGTGGACAGTCACCCCGCCTCCCCCCACCACCTCCCACCTGCCCCTCCCAAAAAATAAATACATAATTTTTTAAAAAAAAATCTGATTTGAGGAGGAATTTGTTGGGAATCAGATATGCCTGTGGTCTTGAACTTAGCCCAAAAGAATCATTCATGGGGGGTTTTCTGCAGGCTAGTGCGGCAGGTGCTGTTTTTGTGGATCCTCCGTAGCTTTTATGACATCACGGTAGAGCGAGCGGGAAAGAGCGTGGTTGGAGAGCGCTAAGTTACCGAGTTGCTGATAGCTAGAGTTATTTTAAGTGATGGAGCTTGAAGTATTTCACATCCAGTATCCGCCATTTTGTGCCTGTACAATTGTTGTAACCTGTGGTAACATTGTGAGCAAACTGAATCGAGACTTATTTTTGCCATCATGATATTCAAAACATGCCAATCAACGTGACTACTTTTCTTTGTGTTCAAAGCTTTGACTGACTGTCAAGGAAGTATCTCCGAAGCAGATACTGTACCGAGGTATCTAGTTTGTGGAATCTTAAGCCTATCATGCACCCTGTAACCTGATAACATAAGCTGTCCACTGTGTCCCTGAAAGGGTTAAGATAAATGACTGGCAAAGTGATATCATGTTTACAGGGGTTCATACCACTGGTTCCCAGGCCAGCATCATCTTGGCTTTTCGGATGTCAGGCTTCCGCCTTTGTGGGTCATCCTGGGCCTCGGGAAGGAACTGGATCTGACTTCTGCTCACTGTGGGAGTGGACAAAATGGGCTTGAAATGACCGGAACAATAATAATAAGACCCCCTTACTCGGTGTGCAAACAAGTATACAAACAGTTCCGTAAAACCTATTCTTGTTCTTGTCAAGTGGTGTGGAAGAGGTGAGCTTCATTATTATTATTGTAATATTTTTTTTAAACAGTCCAACCTTGATGGAGTGACTATTGTGTCGGATGAACAAAATAATGACAGAACATGGTTGCTGCGCTGGTTTTGTGGATTTGCATCCAAACCACAGATTTACATGACTCAAGATGAGCCAAATGTGAGTTCAACGCATGCCCTCTCGAACAGATGGCAACCCACCCAGAGTTGAATCAATCTGTGGATTCCAACGGCACGAGTGAGACAGAGAGGAACATTTTGGGATTTGAATTCCTCTTTAAATGCACATTCACATCATCACCGGCTGTTGTTAGTGGCTCAGTATAAGGGCACTTCCACACAGAGAAACCGTGGAGGAGATGGCAATTGAGTCAGCATTCTTTGGAATTGGGTACCGTAGCATCTGGCGCTGTCGTTTGGCCGGCTGTTGTTTTGTATAGCTACCGTATTCTCCGCACTGTAAGGCGCACCTAAAAGCATTCCATTTTCTCAAAAGCCGACAGTGCGCCTTAGAATCCGATGTGCCTTATATGTGGATCAATATTCACATTTCCTGGAGGTCGTATTTTAAATGTTCTGGAAAGTGCTTTGCTTCAGCGCTATATCAATAAAGCTGTATTGTATTGTATTCCCTTTAGCGCAGCTCCATCTAGTGGATGCATAACGCAAACTCAGCCACTATGGTCACTTCTATTCTATGCGCGTTATAATGCGGTGCGCCTTATACTCCGAAGTGCCATATCGTGCAGAAAATACGGTACTAAAATGAGAATTTTACCGCTGTGCCTTTGCAGTCCAGCAATCCATGTCATATTAACGAGTGTGGTATTATTTGAACAGTCAACAACTTTAAACCTTCAAGGACTTCATCCTTTTCCGCACAAAGCGCATCTTAATGCGGAGGGAGAAAGGTGCGAGGGTGGGACAGACCGGCACCGAGATAGCGGGGCTCGAGACAGCGCGCACATCCGATGACAAATATCGATCGATCGGGCACCCTTACCGACGAGACTTTTGATGAGCTGAGCGAACTTCAGTATGGTATGCTCCTCTGGGTTCCCCTGCAGATTGAAAACACATTTGGGTGTTGGTTTAAGGTTACAGGAGGATGAGGGAGTTTGGGTTTGGTGTGCCAAAGGTTTAATGTAAAATGTAGTGGCTCATGAAGAGGAACTCACCAGATTGACCGGACTGCTGATGTTACTGTTCATCAACAACACCATGCCGTTAACCAGGTCACTGGAATTCCAATCACACATAGAAATGAATTTACAATGGGCTCCATTCATGTGAATTCTATAGCGGTGGGGCCTCGCTTCATGGGAGTGACGTTCCCTCCCAATTCTTTCGGTTCATCCTAATAACAGAAGCTTCCATATGTCGGGACAGAAATGTTTCATTCGAGCTTTTCCTCCCCCATTTAAAAATTCACAATGGGCAAAAGTCAGGCGAGACGTGGCAGAGTCAGCATGTATTCACTCTCTCCGATATGTTGAACACCGGTTTCTATCCATGTTGCTCCATTAGGGCACGAGCAAGAACTTTGAAGATGATCTATGGCGGAATCTAATAATTCAACCGGCTTTATACAGTGTAACCTCTCAAGTCAAATATCCTTGTGGTTGAACCTTCAGAATTCTAACGAAACTCGGAAATTGTGGTTAAAAAAATAAATAAAAATCACACAGGCAGCAAACAGCCATCCACTAAATAACGAGACAATCTACACAACAGGAGAAGTGCAGCTTCAGGAAAGGGAGAGGGAAGTCTTGAACAGGTGAGTTTAGAGTCAACCGGCTCAAAAAGCTTGGCAAGACGGGACCTAGCAAACTGGGGTGCATTTGTAAGACTGCTTTAAAATTTGAGCAATGACTCCGAGGTCTGGAGGTTTTACTGTGATCGAAAGTCATGCAAAAATAACCTCAAGAAACCCAGTGTCGATAAGTCCTTGGACGTGGCGGTTTATTGTTGTTGGTGCCAAAACGTGAACGCAGCTTGTCAGCTTGTCATCGATGGGCTTAAGGCATGCTGCAGGTTGGGGAGCGTGATTGGCATTTACGAACATGTGCACAGGAGAGCAAACAAAGCGTGAAGGAAAGCACGATCAATCAATTGTGTACTCTAACTGCTATTTTGGACCTTGAGGCTTGTGCATCAAAGCAGGTTTTGATCCATTTGGTGGTGTATGTGGAAGGACAAAAAAAAAAAAAAAAAACAGGCATGTTGTAGAATTTTTCAATCAAGTACTGTATGATGCGGGATTCTTTCCGATGAAGAATGAAGGAAAACAGAGTGTAACCTAAAAATGCAAACAGCTCTGCAATCGTACTCTTCTAAGTTGCATTCGCAAACCTCCAATCGTTTGACTTTTTCTTGGGCTTTGCAGTCAACCTTTTACTGCGCCACGTGCCGATGCACTCTTGCGCTGCTCCACAAACTAGTTCATGGCCTTCAAATGCCATAATTTGTGTAACTAGTCATATGAACAACACTTTAGGTTATAAATATGAAAAAAAAAATCCAAGGAAGGACTGATACCAAATGAGCGTGCCTTCTTGTGCCGTTTGTAACCTCAAACTGTCATATGTCCTGACCGCCGGGAACTGAGCATCCCGCACTCTTTGGACAGATCCAAGGTTGAACACTCAAGGAAGTAAGGAAGTCTACTCGAATTGGTTCATTTCCACAAAGTCACATGTTACATCATTAACGCTCTCATCACTTCTTGCCAGACTGATTAAGATAAGATAACCTTTATTTGTCCCACACTGGGGAAACTTGCAGTCTACAGCAGCAAAAAAAAAAAAAAAAGGGGGAGAAAAAATAAAGTGTTTCATTGCACAAAATAAATGTTTCAGAAAAGAACTGTACACAGTTCAATGTAAGTGCAATATAAAATACAGCATTATAATAATAAAATAATAATAATAAATAAAATAATATATAAAATATATAAATATAAAAAATCAATTAAAAAAATTAATCATAAAAAAAAAAATAATGATTCCATTCATGAATCAAAGGGAAAATCACGTTCCTCTATGAAACGCCTGAGCATCTGTCCTTTACTTTAACACAAATGAAATTTGTCAACACAAATATAGCCTTCACGGGGTACATCTATTCGCAGAGATGCAACGGAATCCTTATTTACGACGTGCTTTTCGGGGGCTGGAGCACGAGAATTAAAGTGGAACTGACAAACGTTAAGAGTCACCCCAGTGGACATACCAAACGGGATTGAATTCGAGAAGAATGTTTCCCTTCTTACCTTACGTACTGGAAGGCTCTTGTTTGGGAACCGGTGCCATAAACCTAGCGCAACAACAGGAGATTAATTAGCACGGCGCAACACGGGTGTCTACCCGTGTCGCGAAATGCATTGAATTACACGCGCCATCAGTTGATTACGTTTGCCTTGGAGTAATTGCATTTTACATTCACTTAAATTGGAAGACAACGTTGTTTACTAATGCTGCGGCTAGACTGGTTTCGAGTTACCGTATGCCTTTTGAATAATAAGAAATTAAGTATGAACACAGCTTCACGCAGGAACGCTCTTTCCACTTGGTACAGAACTTCATCGGAACAAACAGGACTCGCTCACTCGTGATATCGCATGCAGTGATACACGACTGGAAAAGAAAAGAGAGACTTTGCGACACCGTAGTGGCCACCACGCACTTTGCAGAAAAGTCACAATATTCGGTGTAGGGCGTGGTCAACGTCTTGAGGCTTTTTGGACACATTTTCAGTTGGGATTCATTCAACATGGCCTCGGCGCAGTACATTAAAATGTTTTTAAAAAAAATTTATAATACATTTCTAGTTGTAAAACATAATTTTATATTCATGTACATGAAAAGTTTGGGATTTCTTGGGAAGCATGTGCAAGGGAGTTATGAAGCACTTCCTCCTTTGTGTTAAAACAAATGTTAATTTTGATGATCCGCACCCGTCATTAAAAAAAAAAAAAAAAAAAAGAGATTAAGTCTGTATGCATGCGGCCCAGTATCGGTGGATGGGGCCCCCTGCTCTACACACAAGGGTGTCAAAGTCTGACCACTGCATATGTGCAAAAAATAGGTCAAAATTGAACATTCAAAAATTCATCATAATACAAAGCTCACTTCCTGTTCATTTTAAACTACGGCCGCAATTTTTGTTTGTACAGCTACACGTGCCTGCCAATTTTCGTAGGCCTAGGTTTACTGTACCGCGATTGGTTTTCATTTTTCTACTGCAGGTGGCGCTGCAGAGCCATTTTGTTTTCATTGATTATGACAACTACCTAATATCAATTTCCCCCCCCCCCCACCAGGGCCAATGAATGTGCAAAGTTTGGTGACTTTTCGTGCATGTTAAGGTTTTCCAAAATGCGATAATCATAATTTACAATGATAAGAGTAATCATTTCTGACCGGGTACTAAATAAAAGGAAAAAGAGAAGCGAGCCAATACATTTTCAGTGCAGTGTATTTCACCAGTAGGGTGCAAACAATAGGAAAAAAAAAAATAAAATCTTGGAGGGGGTGATTGGTGGCTCTTACTGTGAGTGGTTCCCCCTGGAGAGCCTGCAGGATGAAGTTACTGACAACTCGCCCATCGTTCATGTGCATTCGGGAGCCGAACGTGTTGAAGATTCTCGCCACTCGAACCTCCACTCCTTCCTGGGAGCACAGAAAATACAGCCAATCCCTTGAAAAGAGGTGCCATATTGCTGCCAATTATCCGAGCTTTTCATCTTTTCTTTATGTCCTCGTGTATTCAGTGAAATTCGAATCAATGCTCCCCCCGCCCCAACACACACTTTTCAATGAAATGACAGCTTCACACCAATAAAATGTTAAATATAAATTCCATAAGTGTCATTTGCTCTTGAGGACAATATTATGCCCGCACGCTCGACAAAACGAGACCACGTGCTTCACACACAACTTTGCTTTTTGAAAATCATTAGCCTTCGCAGGTGGACGTCATGTATCAATGCTCACATTTCGGTGGCTGAGAAACATGAATAAAAACATGAAAATTATGCAGAACGCTTGGCTAAATGGGGAATTTGTAGACCAAATGTATTCGGCGCAGTGAAGGAGAGCAGACACAATGGAGACAAGGTGTTGAAAAGGTCATCCAAGTTGAGCTTGTAATAGGTTATGCATTCATACACGACTGCATAGTCAGACACGTGCTTCCACATCTTAAGTGTGTGAATGTGGGAGGGGGAAGCGATATTAATAGTGTTCAAAAAATTAGAAAAATTTTGGAATATCCATATCGACGTGGCGTTAATGTAGAATTGCGTTGCTTGACTGGAACCTGGACTCCGTCCCATCGTACTGCTTGTCCTCACTCGTCTCACGGGTGGTCTCCCTCTTAAAAGTATTCACCTTACAATCCTCTCAGCTTTTCATGTCTTTTTGACCACACCTTACATGCTTTTCATGCGATCGGTTGTGTAACTGTAGTCGCCACGTGTAAATGTTAATGGATTTTGATGACATGACTGGGCAATAGATGGACGACACGATAATTTTGTCCCTGCGCACCGGTGACTGACAGTTGATTATCGAAAGCAGGATGCTTCCAAGAATGATCCCAATGAGTGTTGAAAAATAAATAAATAAAAAATAACGAGCAGCTGAGTAAGGACCAGAGGCTGAGGGCGATAAATAAATATCACTTGCCCGAAGCAAAGGCAAAAGAAGTCAATCACATCAGCCTATTAAAGGCTGACATCAATCACATTTTCTGCCGCAAACCACTGCCGCATTTTGTGCGTGTCAATCAACCTCCCGTTCAACGTTACAAAAACAAATGCGACTTCGAGTGTGAATGAACACATGAAAAGATCGATTTCACAAAATAAATAAATACATAAAATTCTGAATCGGATATCACGCCCCTACAGGGTGAATATCGCCTTCATGTTGCCACAGGCAATTCAATAGGACTGCAGTGGCCCAGTTAAAAAGATATGAATACATTACTAATTCATTATTTTATTGTTGTTTACGTCATCAGGATTACTAATTTTTGTAATGTAACTCCAAAAAAAATAAATAAATAAAAAATCACAGAAATAAAGCAAAACCAATTTGATGAAAAAAATGGGAGACCTGAAAATCAACAATGGCTACAGGCATATCTAATTTCAAATAGATTCCTCCTCAAATTCAATTTTTAGGGCTGCCTGTCCACAATATATTTACAAAGTGTCCAGCTGGGATCTGGCCCTTTTCAGTACCAATTAACCGCCAAAAACGAGGGATGATTGTATCAGTAAACCTGTTCAGGGACACGCGGCATTGAAAATGGATGGATGTACTGTATAGCTGAGTGTAATGATACCTGCTTCATGTAGGCGTAACACATGGTCTCGGCAACACGTTTCCCTTCATCGTAGCATGCTCGAGGACCGATGGGATTTACGTGGCCCCAATACTCTTCATTTTGGGGGTGCACCTCAGGGTCTGCAGGAAAAACATTTCAGTCATTAATGGTTTAGCAATTTGGAAAGCAATCCCCTCAGGTGGCTACCAAAAACAATAACAATAATAATATGATGAGTGATGAGTACTTTATAATGTGACACAATAATGAAAAGCGACTCTTACCTCCGTAAACTTCCGAGGTAGAAGCCAAAAGAAGCCTGGCGCCCACTCGTTTGGCCAAACCTAAGCGATAAAACAACAGCCTTTGTCTATGAGGCACAAAGAAGCAACTGTGCAATTAATCGTGAATGGATGCAGGAATAACACGTGGGCCAGAGGGCACAAACATCTAGCAAGGCTACAAAATCAGCAAATACATTCCCAATGCACAACCACTTTACCAAGAATAGTTCACTTTGTCCAGGCTAATGCTCATTTTTTTGAACCCATTCAACAAATTGAAACGGTACAGTATTACCGTATTTTCCACACTAAAAGGTGCACTGGATTATAACGCGTACCTTCAATGAATGGCTTATTTTTTTCATTTTTTTAATATATTGGGCGTGTTCCAGCTACGTAACCCCTCGCCTTAAAGTTGAACTCTGCGTTGTAAAAATGTCTCTTGCAAGGAGCCATTTTGGGGTCTTGATACAGTCAAATATACAGCAAGCCACGAAATATTACCGTAATGACCATATAAAAGGCGCATCGGATTTTAAGGCACGCTGTCAGCTTTTCAGAAAATGGAATAATAATAATACATTTTATTTATAAGCACCTTTCACAACACTCATGGACACTTTACAATCAAGAGCAAAACAATCAAACTACAGAAGGCTTTTAGGTGCGCCTATTAGGTGCGGAAAATACGGTAATCCATTTCAGACTCACCGAGCATGTTGAGAGTGCCGATGGTGTTGGTCTTGATGGTTTTGATGGGGTTGTACATGTAATTGGGGGGAGAGGCTGGAGAGGCCAGGTGGTAGATCTGATCCACTGCCGTAAGAGAAAAAGCTAAGTGTGACTTGGCTCAACAGTCAACTGGCAATCAAATACCACGACTATATAAGTGGCTTCGTCGAGTTGCAAGAGATGGGCAAACGACGGCCCATTCGCGGCTTTTTAATGTGCCATCGCAGCAGCATATGAAGGTCTGGATGCCAGCCGTACTGGAGATGACAGGTTAGCTTACCGCTCGGTAGCTGGTTAGACGCAACACGGTGTGTTTACTGGATCACAAGCAGCAAACACAGATTTTGAGTAAGAGTCAAAACTCCAGAATTTAGAAACAAATTAATTTACAGGGTCTGAGTGGTTTAAGTGGCCGAAATGACTCGGCAGATTGTTCATTCTCACAGGCTCACAGTTAATCTAAACAGCTTTGGTTGCTTTGGCCGAGATGGTCCAATTCTGATCCCAAGGTGTGTGGGGCCGGAAAAAAAAAAAAAAATCCAATTACTTTTTGTCGTTCCCTCACCCTCAATGTAGAGTGGCTCCACCACGTCATGATTGATGAGCTCAAAGTTTTCATGGCCGAGCCAGTGCTCCACATTCCTTTTTCTCCCGGTGAAAAAGTTGTCCACCACAGTCACCTCGTGGCCATCCATCATCAGCTTGTCAGTCAGGTGGGAACCCACAAAACCCGCACCACCAGTAATCTAGGAAAAAAAAAAACAACACATTTTTAATACAAATCAAGAAGTGGGCTACAACACAAAGTCACAAGCAGAAAAATGACATGACTGACTGACATGCCTATGCCATAAAATTGTCAACGTGACAAATGTGTAAAAGTTCCAAGATCCATTAAAAAGAAAAAACAGGTGCAAACAGGAAAGCGTATCTATCTAGCTGTGTTACTTTTCTAAACATAAGCCATAGCAAAACCAGCATGCTGCCCCCCAAAAAATAAAAACCATCAAAGTAACCCCATGCTCCAGCCCCACTCAAAGTGCGAGTGCACATTTTGTTTGTTTGTCTTACATACCAGAATCCTCTTTCGATCCTTCTCTGACAGAAATTTCACAGGTGGGTATTTTTGAGAAAAACTGTAGAAGAGAAGATTTAAAAAAAAAAAAAAAAAAAACACTTGTTAAGCTGAAAATCTGTAAGGAGGAGGGAAGAGTATGCAAGACGGACGCTGAAATAAAAACCCTGTGATAAATATTTTGTGCTAACAATCACCATGAAGCACTCGACTGACAAAATGCACCGTTGTGGCACTGAAAAAAACGGCATCCTCCTAAGTCTATCACATATTTTTTGACACATGGAGCAAAGCGGTAACTGAATCATAATAAGTATTTTCTGCTCTATTCAGTTGACATAATGTCCTGTTTTTGAATGAAGGGATGGAAATTAAAACTCTTTTTTCTTTCATCAGATTTATCTATTAATACTTTGCTCTGTTGCAGTGATAATTTTGGTTTCCTGTTCTGTCAGATGTCAACCTGTTTTTCAAAAAAAAAAAACAAAAAAAAACAACGAACACAAACCTCTGCTCCAAATCACGAATCTGGTCACGTAGTGGAGCCACAGCCTTAAACGAAACGACAAGTACATGCCATCAGATCACATTTGAAAAATGTATTTGTCAGGAACAAAAATGTATAACAGTCAGGGTTCAGACATTTAAAAAAAAAAAAACATCAGATCACATTTGAAAAATGTATTTGTCAGGAAGAAAAATGTATAACAGTCAGGGTTTTAAAAAAAAAAAACAAACATTGCTGTCGATAGACCCTTCTCAATGTGTTCTGGAATACGACATATTGTATAGTGCTATCTCTATATTTCGATATAGAGTGCATTTGTGCTCTTTCTTTATTCATTACAGGGCTTGAACGTAATGGACCATTCAAGAAGTTAATTGACAAAGACCCCGAGCACGCATGCAAATCAAACAAGTATGGCTTCACCAGAAGAAAGTTGTTGGAACGTGCAAAAGGTGCCATCGCTATTCGACACGTTAGGAGCTCTCCAACAAGGAACCCCGCAGAAACAGCGGTGCCGCCAGTCATCCGGGAGTTCACACGATTCTATGGTTTTGTTGCGGACAGGAAATAGCTGACACGCGCCATTCAGGTGGCTTCGCAATATCCCAAATGTGAAAAGATGTAAACCTGGCAGCCAGTATCTTATTTTGAAGACGCGTGTAAACGTTATCATAGCGACCAGAGAGTGTTGCTAGGACGTTCCTCGTGTCATGATTCGTGTTCGTGTTTATTATTCTGTTTAGAAAATACCACAGTTTTCATGCAGGTCATATCATATTACTGTATTTTGTTGTATTTATCAGTCACACCTTAAACTGCCGGTTCCTGAAAATATTGCCTGACATCAAACTGGTCCGTTGAGCAAAAAAAGTCGGGGGCCGTCGTCTTAGACTTTATTTTTAGAATAAATACTTCATGGACTGATCGCGAAACAGCAGTAGATAAAGTAGACAGGCACATCAAAATATAAAGTTTTGACATTTTGGATATGTTTTTAAATAATTTAACACCACAGTTAGTTTTTTTAATGGCAGAAACACCAGCTTTTTTTTTTTTTAGTGTGTTCAGTTTCTATCATATATTTGTTCTGAGACACCACTGCGGGAGCACAGCATGGTTCCGTTCAACAATAAACCATGTGACAGCTCTTATCACGATCATTATGCAGAAGTGTCATTTATAGCTAACATTAATGCTCGGGGGTGATTTCAAAGCAGCGGGATATTTGAATATGAGATGACCAGATATATTTCAATTTACCTACGATGCTTTAAACCATAAGGTCACCACGATAAGGGAAAACGGCAGCACTGTGATAAGCCAGCCGGAAAGTGATTACAATTTGTGTTAGAGTCTGGCACATAAACAAACATGCTGACATCAAATAGCGCTGCACGGGATGTGGCTAATAGTAGAGGGAAGTAATTATATGGTGTAAAACACATGGAGGGTGGTTCTGTACTTTTTTATATCACTGTGCACGTGACAGCAAATGGTCAGGTGAACGCAGGGATAAATGCCACCAAAACTCACCTCATTAATCTTCTGCTCAATCTCCATCTCCCCGTATTCTTTGATCGATCTACGACGAGGGAAACATCAAGCACAAGGAGACCAGTGGCTATGAGCGGTAGGATAATGACAGTCATAATCACAAGCAGAGTTGTGGGGAATAAAGTGGCAGAACGTTTACAAAGAGGAATCTAAATCTTTACCTCACAGTTGTGTATTTGCCCCAGACAGCTGAAAGAGAAGAGAGATACAATTCAACATATTAGAACCAACCAGCCCAATCATCCATCCATATCAAAAGGCCCGTGTATGTCCAAATGTGGTTTTAAGGTTAGATTTAGCTGGTGCGGGCTTAATCAGGTGCGTGTTGTAGTCCTGAAATGACGGCACATAACCCATATTTCGGCAAAAATGATCGGAGCACTTTTCCGTTGATGAGAGCATTGGTGGGATCACAAGTGGACAACACGAATGCGGGGAAACGCCACCTCTCCAACACAATTTTCTGCCAACTCATTTTGCTCCTTTCCAACCTTTTTGAGCAATCTGATCCATGTTTTTTTACGCCCATCTGCCAACTATTTTTGCTCCTTTCCAACCATTTTGAGCAATTTCATCCATTTTTTTTTAATGGCCGGAACGATACGGACGTCGCAAGTTAGCTAATCGCTGTACTTGTCACGTGGTAATTAAACAAGCCACGATAGTAGGCAATTTTAACAGAGAGCAAGCCTTCCGCAGGGATAACATTATGTTTAAGTGTTTGAATAGAAAATACAATGTTGTCATGTTTTAAAGTTTCATCTTGTTACATGCTTGATTGACCTCGAAGTGCTTGTGTTCAGAACATTTTGCACACATTCGAAGCACAGAGAATCAGGGGTCAATTGCGCTCCTCATCTCACAGAGAAAGATTTAACCCTCACTAGTAGACACGCTGGCGCCTGTTAACCAACAACTTGGAAAGGAAGATTTAACTATGGACGGAAGGGAGTGCTTGTACGCTCCATCATGAGAAAGGGTCACGAGCCAGGTTACCGGCAGATCAATTCAGGGAGACAGCGCTCATTAAAATGTCTACGTGTCTATTAGTTTATGGATGTTGGTGTTGATACCAAGAGAATGCTTTGTACTTGGGGGACCACTGAGGGGCCCCTATGGGGCCGCCCATGTGTGCGGCATGTTAATGAAGATGGGAGTGTTTTTCTGATATATTCCTTGTAATTTGCATATACAGTCAATAAAAAGGCCAGCAGAGGTTGCAGAGGTCGGGTGGTATCAGTGGGAAGCGCACACGAAGTGGCTTCGTAGAAAACTGCACCTCCTGCCAGCAGAGAAAGACAATCGACAATGTCACCATTTCAACTTTTTTGGACATGTTTCTTCTCTTGCAAATATGAAAATGCAAAATGCCAATGCAGCTCCACCCCCACTGAAAATTTAAGGCGAACTGTCGAGAGGAAGATGAAGGAACAGAAATCAAACAGAAAGTACGGATGATCTCAAGGCCAATATCGACGTGGGCTGCAATAACACCTAAATTGTGCCAAAGGCTGATCAGCTTCATGCCACGTCGTCTTCATGTTGGTTTTGTTTCGGAGTGGCTTGACACAGAGAATTCCGCAGCTGCAGCACATGTCATGCAGACGTCTGTATGTGGTGGTGCTTGATGCGCTGACAACAGCCTCAGTACACTGCTTATGACGCTCCCCCAGGTTCACCAATGCTTTACGATACACTCCAGGCTGTGGTCACCCTTTTGTGCATCTTTTACAGCCCTATCCCCCCGCCCTTCTATTTAACATTCTATACATACTGTATATTTTAATACAGTGCTGCGTGAGCATCCGGCCCTTTTTTCCTTACAGAGGCTGTCAATGATGGTTTTTTTGCACATATTTCTAGAACCTACTAAACCATACTTTGCCATTTTAAGGAGGGATTTCAAATATGGCGGGGCAGAATGGCTCAATCTGACCATGTCAAAGGGTCCTTGAGCAAGATACTGAAATTGAAATAAATAAAGGTGTGAAATACTTCTCCTTGTGTGTGGTGAACTAATAAAATGTACAGGATTCAGACTTTGATGGGCACAGCTGGTGTTGGTGACGTTTCCGTGACTATTTTAAATCAAAGATAGTGTAATATAATATGTATGCAAATTACATGATTTGGGTTTGGAGTTGTGTTAATGTTGGTGCGCAGCAAAATAGGATAGCAATATAAAATATCATACTTAAAGGAAGCAGTGTCTGGTTAAGTCAAGCAAGGTGCTCTATTATCTTAAGAGTAGCGATTTTGGAGGCTCAGTGAGACAATACACAGCGATACGACCGTCATGTTTAGAAGGGATGACAAAGGCAAATAAGAAGCACATGTTTTACTCACAGGCAATGTAGGCAATCAAGGCCAGGGCAAAAAGTAGCTTAACCATTCTTCTGTTTGATCCTGATATCATCCAGATGACTCGCTTCATCCTCCGCGACGTGCAACGAGTCTCGCATGCGTTCAACTAGAGCATGTTGGCTTGATATGTCGCTCCGCGAGCTTTGAAGTTAAAGAGCGTCACTCCTCGTTGTCAGGCTTTTCATTTAAGAAGTCCCACACGTTGTTTATCGGCGAGTTAGCTGCTGCTGCGTTAACGCCAATCAGAAACAGTTTACGTGGCTAACCGAATAACTCACACAAGTAACATTACGAGGTCAAGAGCCAGGTGTTAACGCTGTTCGGCGTCATTATTACGACATTTGCCGTCCACCTGCGTTTACCCCCTGCTTACCCAGAGATTTCAAACATTAGCGGGCATATCTTTAGCCAATATTTGAAACCTTTGACGCCAGAGAGGAGCAAAATGTACACACCGCAGCCAATGAACAGTTAGCATCCGGCTAGCCAATTTGGACCATTAAAGCAGCGTCCAAACTACTAACACGAGAAAACAACAGTTGACGCTACCTATATGTTAAACGTTTCGCGTCATTAAAAAAAAAAATTTAAAAGTGACACGTTACAACTTGTTCGAATGTATTTCAGCCTGTCAACTTCCTGTACACAAGTAGTGTTTTTTTTCTTCATGGAGACAAATAGCTGTTGATTGAATATGACTTGGTGTAATACCGCCACCCCTGGTAAGGATGGATCATCGCAACAATATTTTTGATTGATTAAAAAAAAAAGCCCTGTATTTCAGGCTCCACGCGGTGACTCCACGTTTTGTTTTGCGTTCACTATTACAACAACTACAGTCATTAAATGGCAAAATTGTGTTATTGAATTGATATTAGATTATTACTAATACAAGATATTGAATCATGTGTTTTTATTTGCTTCTGTGTCGGTGGTCAAATTATTTGACCTGTCAACTCATACGGTTTAGCCATAGTTCACACGGATTTTGTGGTGAATCTTACGTATATGGCCGTATCGCACAAATCATACAGATTCTGAAAATGTCCACATTCACAACTCTCAGGTCTTGGTCTCAGATTTAAAAAAAATCAATGGTGCTCATCTACTCGAATGCTTTCATTTCCAGTAACTTTCCAGTAAATCACGTGGTTCCTAGTTGAAAACAGCAGAGTATTCATTGCATACTTCGGTAGTGTACAAGCAAGTTCTACAAGGAAACAAATATATCATTCATATTTCGTGGTTTTTTTCTGCCGTTATTTTGACATATAAAATGCTTTGGTATGTTATAAGGATTTTTTGGTCTTTATAAGGATTTTTTTGGTAGTTTATACAGGTTGGCGCTCCGAAAAGTTGACAGGTATGCAAATACTTAACAGTTAATTACCTGATCTGTGGTGCATGAAAAGTTGCAGTGTAGCACCGAGCTGTAGAATGACAGGCACGACACCTTTTTTATTGATCAACCTCCAAACTTGTTTAGTCATAAAATCAGTACAGTATTCTGATCAAATTACTTTTATTGGATAAATTTAATACAGAATTTAAAAAACACAAAAAACATGCTCTCCTTCAAAGTGTAGCGTTTGTGTGCACATCTCACTGGTGAAGCCATAGTAGGTATTTTCATATTTAAAGTGTGCTATATTTTCCAAATGATTTTTGATGACATTCACAACTCTCAGGTTTTGGTCTCAGATTTTAAAAAAATAATTTAAAGGTTGCAATCTAACAAAATACATTTTAAAAAAGGCACAGGGGTGCAGAGTTGAATACTTTTGCAATACATCTATTTACAAATACCGCGAGGCATGCTGCGAAAGTCTTTCTACTTATTTTTGTCCATTTCAAATGTTGATGACAACCGGGTTGCATTACCGCTACCTGCTGGAAATGTGGACCATAAGCGCATTGAAATATTTATGCAAAACTAATAGAAAGGGATTTCATGAAATTTTATCAAAACAAATCTCGGTTAATCTACTCTTTGCACAAATTGAACTATATTCATACGTTTTAACTGATTCACTTTCATTCGTTTTTAAACTCTAAAATTGTTGTTGATTTTTAAAAGATCTAGACAAATACGCTGGAAAAACATGTGATTTTAAAAAATTTAAAACATTCAAAAAATAATTTTTTCTGAGTGTGCAATATTTTGTCTTTTTTTCCCCCCAAAACTAAATCCAAAACATTCAGTTGTGAATTCACAGTTTTGACATTCATGAGCAAAGATCATGTCATCTTTTGACGTTTCTATTTTCAGCCTGTCCCAAGATGGGTTACATCACTGGATGATAAAAATCCCTCCGAGATCATTTATGCAGTAAGCCATCTGTCTAGGAAGATGTTCTGTTAAGGAACCATATGACAGCTGTTTATAGTGAAGAGTGACATGAAGAAGAAAAAAAAAAAGCTAACACGGATCTTATCTCTCATAATTTGTGATTCTGACACATTATCAAAATGAACCACGGAAAACACTGATACGGGGTATAAAAGGAAGCAATTAACTGGAACAGCCATCCCCGCTGCGGTGTGTTGTGCGTTGTGCGTTGTAATGAAATTCCCTGTGAGAACAGACTGTTGATCAAAGTGAACAAATGAATAAGTAAAAAAACTAAAGCATCTACAGAAAAAAAAACAGAGACTCAAATAAACATAATTGCAGTTTGCAGCAGGTATTTGTGAAGCACACGCAGTGTTCTGCAACCAGTCGCATCAGCGTCGCTGAGCCGTGCAATATTGCGAGAAATCCATCATGGATGCTTTTCATTATTTACCAAAACAAAGAACAACGGCTGCTGTCAAAATATATTTGAAACTGAGTTATTTGGGATGGATGGACGGGAAAATCCCAGTGGGTTTAACTAGCTATTGCGACGCAGGCACAATAGTTGAAGCTTTTTTAAGATAAGATATCCTTTATTTGTCCCACATTGGGGAAATTTACAGCCTTCAGCAGCAAGATTGTGGGTAGAAAGAAGAGAAAAGAAAACACAGTTCAATTAAGTGCAATATAAATACAAATATGGATAAGGTCAATAATTAAGTGCAATATAATACAATAGTCACAGTACTATTCACATTTGTTGTCATATCATTTAAATAATTTTATGATTTATTTATTTATTCATTTTTTATTCAGCAGCCTGACAGCAGTCGGTAGGAACGAGCGGCGGTATCTCTCCGTCTTGCATTTTCAGGGAAAATTTCAGGGAAGACATGACGGGGATTTCAGAAGCTGTGCTCATATGACTCATATCGTGTAAATATGCTTTATACTCGGGACCAGCTGTATAACTATTTCTTAGTGAGGTGGTAGAAAGGCTACATGTAAAAAGCAGTGGTGACTCTCCAGTCATCATGTTGAATCGGCCAAAAAACGCCTCCAACGCCCCGGCAACGGCTCCAACGTGCCAACGGTGTGCACTACAGCAACTAGACACCGTTCATCAACGCCCAACCAGTTTCTGCTGGAATGGTGTACAGAGGTCTTAAAGGCAACATTATGCCTTAAAGTCCTCCAACAGAATTAAAGGGATTTAAGAGGAGCGAGAGGGAGTGGTGCCTCAGTGCAAGATGCCGTTTTTCCTTTATTTCAAATTTTTTAGCAGTCACAGTTAGATTGTGAAACGACTAATCTTGTCCCATAATCCAAGCTTAGTTTGCCAGGTAGCGAGTTTGAGTGGTATATTGTTCATTTCCATTGACAAATTGTAAATTGATGTTCCTTTTTGTCCTTCATTTGTCACCTCTCGTCGCGGCTTTTGTCGCTCAAAGTACAATATGGGACCTAAACAATGCAAGATGCATCCTATTGTATCTCCTAGTGGCGCAGAAATCATCATTCATGCGTTTGTTACGTCTTGCTTCGATTATTGCAATGTATTGCTTTCTGGTCTTCCCATGGTCAGTGTTAAAAGTTTGCAGTTAGTACAAAATGCTGCAGCTAGACTGCTGACGAGGATGAGGAACTTCGATGACATTACCCCGATACTAGCCAACCTGCATTTGATTCCGGTCCATTTGAGATCTTATTTCAAAGTTTTGCTACTTACTTATATCTATCGTATTACATGGCTTAGCACCTCCTTATCTCATTGACTCAGTGACATCGTATGTTTCGCCCCAAACTTTTAGTTCACAACACGCTGGTCTTTTAGTGATTCCGAGAACAAAAAAACACCGCAGGTTTTCTATTCGGGCTCCAGTGCTCTGGAATGCCCCCCCCCCCAAAAAAAAATTAGAGCAGCTGCCTCAGTTGAAATGTTTAAAACCCAATTTAAGATGAATTTGTACACTCTTGCATTTTGTTGACCTGCATGTTGGCCTGTTTGACTGCCACTTTCTCTGTGTGTCCTTCCCTTCCTCCCTGATCTGGAGAAGGGTCTATAGGTGATGATGACCCAATTGGCTGTCGCTGTACAGATTCTGCTCCGATCGATATGGACATGATTTGCAGTGACCGAGCTGGGTCGACCACTCGGAGGCGCTGCTATGAAGATTTCTTCATCGACCAACTGGGCCGGGGTTCAGAGGGGGACCCGCCTCTCCCTACAGTGTTTTCATCTTGTTAAATGGACTTTTATATCTTTCTAACTAACATTGAAAAGAACAATATTGTGTCAAATGTTGCCCACTCGGCATCCAATATCCTATCACTTTAGCCCTTGGTCTGGTGCACCTTACCTTGAGGGACAGAAATTGCTGACAGTATGAGTAATCTGCTTTGCTGAAAATAGATTTTTACAGCTCCTAAAGGAAGGTTGAGGGCGGGCAAAAACCTACAGTACAAGGATGTAAATGAGAGGAGAGTTGAAAGAAGGCTGCTCCCATTATACCCAACCCCTTTCCCTGCAGCCCACGATGTGTGGATGACGTCAAAGGCGCCGTTTAAAAAGATACCGGACCTCGCGGTCAGGCGCACTTTCACGCAAGCCCCCGCGCGTGGATAGCATTGCAGCGTGGGGAAAATGGAAGAAAAACGTGTGTGTGTGGGGTGAAGCGGTAAATCATAGCGCTTCATTTATATAGAAAAGGGAAAGTTGGATGGGAAGTAACGGGTGGGACTGTGAGTCATTACCCTCATCCTCACGAGCATTGGAATTTAAAAGGAATGCGCGCAAAGATCATGTAAACTCGCCAAAAGTGCAGCCAAGCTCTCATGCATGGACGCCAGGATGTTGTCGGGCCAGGGGGCTCTCAACTTGAGCGGCTTCAACCTGAGCGACGACCCGCAGATGGCGGAGCCGCCTGCCGAGGTCGAAGCGCGCCTGTCGTCCACCGGCTTCGCGGTGCTCTCCGTGGTGCTGGGCTTCATCATGACTTTCGGCTTCCTAAACAATCTGGTCGTGCTGCTGCTCTTCTGCAAGTTTAAGAAGCTGCGCACGCCTGTCAACATGATGCTGCTCAACATCAGCGTGAGCGACATGCTGGTGTGCGTGTTCGGTACCACGCTCAGTTTCGCCTCCAGCATCCACGGACGCTGGCTGCTCGGCTCCAGCGGTTGTAGCTGGTACGGCTTCATCAACTCCTGCTTCGGTAAGCTTCGAGGCCACGGGCTGGGGTCATTTCATGAGATACACCTCGCTCGGTCGAATCCCTCTTTGTGCAAGGAGATTGTTGTATTTGAAAGCCCTGATGGGTATATGTTGGGGGAACCTCTGCAATTTTTTTTGACTACCTGTCCATGACTCACTTTTGGGTTTGCTCTTCATTGTCGCAGAAAACGTTATTTTCTTCACGTCAAAAAAAAGGCATTTTTCTTCACTTTTGACAAATTTAACAATTTCTTATTTAACATCACTTGAACAAAAGTATTTTACATTTGGTTGTTGCTGTTTTACATGACTTATGAAACTCAATTTGTCATTAAAGTCAAACACGGTCATTTTGAAAAGCTCCATATCTGGTGTCACACAGGACATATTTTGAACCCAAACTACTAAGATTTTCCCTTCAGTATGAGCCGGCCAATCAACCAACACGTCTGCAACGTTGCTTTATTCAGTGCGCGAGAGGAGGAGAGAGGCGCGGCAGAACAACACGCCTGCTCACAATGCTGTGAGCAACCAACAATTTGGGAAAAGAACATTGTCATGCTGGAGTAAGCTCATGGGGGCTATCAAGAGCACACGTTTTAAAGACATGGACGACATCAAAATGACAACAGAACTACTGAGGATCGGGAAGAATATTTCTAGGAGTGTTTGGATGCATGGAAGAAAAGACTGGGAAATAAGCATGCTAAAGTCCAGGGGGATAACTCTGAAGGGGAAAACTTGTAGCTTGGATTTGAAATATACAATGTTAGTTATGACACCAGTCCTGGAACCTTTCTGACACACATTTCATATATGATAATAAACACATTCCATTGCAGGGGTACTTGTGTATATACCTACGACACACACACACACACACACACACACACACACACACACACACACACACACACACACACACACACACACACACACACACACACACACACGTTTGCCAATGGCTGTTGGAGTGGTACCTTTGCCACTTCACCACGTGTACAGTTCCCACTCAGTGACTGAGTAAATGTGCATCTGAATGGTCATCTGTCTCTCTATAAACTGCGGTTGTCTGGCAACCATTCAGAGTATAGCTGAACATTCGCCCAAAGTCTTTCAGGGTAAGCACCAGCTCACCACGACTCTGAGCAGGATAAGCGCTATAGCAAGTGGATATCTGAAAATATGAAAAATGAACATGAACACGGGCATGCATGGCGTCTTTGAGGTCTCCGATAAAGAGATGATTTTGGAGGTACAAGGGCTCGGCCATGCCATTACAAAAAGCCATGGCACTCTGAGTGGCTCCACACATTGCACGTGCCAAAAAGCAGTTGTTGCACCGCTCCATTCTGACATCCTGACATACCTGCACATGTGATCGGGTTCTCTGTGTTGTGTTCAGCACAGAATAAATTGAAATCTGAGGCCCGAACTGTTTTCTGAACACTCTTAAGTAGTCAATATTACAAAATTTCATTCACTGCTGATTCTGCTGGCATGTTGACATCTTGATCATTATGACAAGTTTTGTAACTGTGACAGAGTTTGGCTCTTTGTGTCCTTGATGTTGTTTGAAATCCACCAAGTCATGAGGGCACAGGGAGCACTGCTCAGCAGACACGAGGAGCCTCTTCAGGAGGTTATGGACTCATATCAGAACCTTTCCACCAACATCAACTCAATGGCCATCCAGTTGACGTCCAATGTTCCACCACAGACTTCATCACCTACTCCAGCCCAGCCCCGACACCTCTAATCAGGGAATGATCTTCTTTTGCTGTGTCTTTTCACCGGGAACTCAACATTCCATGACCTGAACATATTTCCTGGGAGTTAGGAGATTGTGGACAATTTCTGTTGAACTGTTCCTTGGTTTTTCAGCAACAACCTAGCACGTATTCGGACGATCGCGCCAAGTTGGCCTACGTCATCAACTTGCTTCGGGGAAGAGCAGGGAGGTGGGCCAATTCTTTGTGGGAGTCAAAGTCAGAAACATTGGAATCATTTGCTTCTTTTTCTGAGGAGATGCGTAAAGTCTTTGATCAGCCCTTCATCAATCAGTTTTCAGGCAAATGGCTAATATCGTTACGCTCATGGTCTTCATAGGCCAGATCCCGTGAGATTGAGGTAGTGGCTAATTGGCAAGTCTCTTGTTTGTGCAAACAGCTCCAGCAGTTCCTGAGGTTTGCAAACTTCTACACGAGGTTCATCGTGACTACAGCAAGATCGCTGCCCCTCTCACCCAACTCACCTCTACAGCCTCCCCTTCCGCATGGACCCCCAAAGCTGAAGCTGCTTTCAAACACCTCAAAAGACTTTTCACCTCTGCCCAGGTTCTCATCCATCCTGATCCTGAGCTCCAGTTCATCGCCGAGGTGGATGATTCTAATTCCCGAATTGGAGCCTTGCTCTCCCAGAGAAGTTCCAAAGATCAAAAGGTACATCCTTGTGCATTCTTTTCACGGAAATTGTCCCCCCCCCCAGAGAACCATGATGTTGGCCACCGTGAATTATTGGCTGTGGTGCCAGCCCTTCAGGAGTGGAGACATTGGCTGGAGGGAGCTTAGATCCCTTTCTGGTTCTAACAGATCCGCTCTCAAGTCCTCCAATGGGGACACTTCTCCAAGTGACCTTGTCATCAAACTCTCCAGATCTTGCGCCAACGCTTCTGGTGGCCCCAGATGGTCCAAGATGACAGAAAGTTCGTCACCACCTGCATCATCTGCTCTCGAGGCAAATGCCCACTCCGTTGCCCCATGGGCCTACTGCAACCTCTGCCCATCCCCAGCTGTCCCTGGTCCCACCTGTCAATTGATTTAGTTTCTGGTCTGTCTCCATCCAATGGAAACACGGTCATATTCACTGTGGTTGACCGATTCGCCAAGATGTTTCATTTCATTCCATTACACAGCGTTCCCTCCGCCCGAGACTGCCAACATCCTTTTGAACCACGTCTTCAAACTTCACGGCTTCCCAATTGACATTGTTTCTGACCTTGGTCTCCAGTTCACATCCCAGATATGGAAAGTTTTCTGTAAAGCTCTGGGGGCATCCTCTAGCCTGGTTATCACCCCCAGAGCAATGGACAGTCAGAGAGAGCCAATCAGGATCTGGAGTCAGCTCTTAGGTGTGTTTTGGCCCACCATCCAATCTCCTGGAGCCTACAACTTCCATGGGTCGGGTATTCCCACAATTCCCTCACCTCCTCATCCTTCGGGCATGTTCCCATTTATGGTCGCCTATGGGAATCAGCCCCCACTTTTCCCTTCCCAGAAGCAAGAGGTCACTGTTCCCTCTGTCTGTGCCCATCTTCGTCGATGTCGTGCCGCTGGAGACATGCCAGGGCTGCCCTGTCCTGCACAGCCCAGTTCAACCATCAATTGGCCGATAGACAAACGGTTTGGCTGTCTTCCTATGACTGTCCCCTTCAGACTGATTCCCATAAGCTAGCCCTCAGGTCCATTGGGTCCTTTTGAAATTGAGAGGGCCATTAATCCTTCCACCATTTATCTGATGCTCCCTATAAGTTCACCCCACTTTCCACGTCTCTCTGTTGAAGTTGGTCTCCTGTAGCCCCCTCAGCCCTCCTTCCGAGGCCCCTCCTCCGCCACTGGTCATTGATGGTCACCCCGCCTCCACTGTCCGCAAGATTTTGGATGTATGTCGCCGTGGTGGGGACCTTCAGTATTTAGTTGACTGGGAAGGTCACGGCCCCGAGGAACCTTCCTGGGTCTCTAGGTCACTCATCCTCAGCCTTTCCCTCCGCAGGGACTTCTACCGTGAGTTCCCTCACGAGTTGGAAAAAGCACCAGACGGTGCCCCTTGAGGCAGGGTTGGGGTAGGGTGTGTGCGGTTGTGACAGTAACAATTTGATTCTTTGTGTCCTTGATGTTTGTTGGTTTGATCTTTTATTTGGTCACACAGGGCTGGGCTTGTTTTTCTTTGTATTACACAGTTACACGCGATTAGAACGTTCAGCCTTCTATGCCCTGCTGTGCGCTCTGTTTTTTTACTGAGAATTTTTGCATATAAAGACTTTTACTTCACCACTTTTGTCTCCTGTATGCGTCTTTGTCTAAATTCCACTCCTGATGTGATAACAAGTTCCATCTTGTTTGCATTGCCTAACACTTTTTGAGCCTCATTTGTGTTGTACTCAGGCATATATTTGAGGGATTTCAGGAACCAACAAACACATAGTCATTAACGGATTAGCGAGAGAATTGTGATGACGTGCGTTTCAAATCTGCTTTGGTACATTCCTTTCGAATTATGCAAATCAAGTGCTTCAAATTGAACATGGAAATGATCAATTAAAAAAAAAAAAAGGAAATTATGAAAAATATGTGCACACTGACCTATTTGACATGGCTTGTTATAATTGCCATGATTTCAATACCCACTCCCCAAATTATTTTAATTCAAAGGGTATACTTATATACTCTCCCATATTCCAAAAGCATGTTTGAGGGTAAGTGAAGACATCATTGTGCATGTGAACGCTTGTTTGTCTATATGTGCTATACACACATTCCACTTTTCTGCTTATTGTTCTTGATGTAAATTGACTGCAAAATAACGCATTCCATTGTGGAGATAGTGTGTCCTATAATGTTCTCAGTTCTCTTGTGTGCCATCTGTATGTCTAATGGCATTCACAGAAGCGTGTTAGAAACAAATATTTGCTAAATAATGCAGCTTCAAGTCGCCTTGTGGGAGCCTCTTTCAATGAGGGAAATGAGGAGCTTAAATAACACGACAACACAAAAGACAAATTTCACATCACGGGAGCCTCTGGATGCATTTCCATTGAAGAAAATGTGTCTGCTCCTGAAGTGGATGGAATGGATTTTACAAACAAAAGTGAAGGACAGCACCAAATTGGATGTGGTTTTATCCATTCACAGCAAGAGACTTCATTCACTCGCGTCGGCGTATTGACTTTGCAGTGACTATTTCTTGTACCGTTACACCAGGTAGGTACACACAGAAGATGAT